CGTTATCATTCCTATAATCATAATCATTATTATTATTGCTTTATCGCCATCATTACCACCATTATTTATCATTACTTCATCACCGTCATCGTTATCATTATCATCACCGTAGGCATCATCATTATCATAATCATCATTGCTTTATCGCCATCACTATCATTATTGTTATCATTACTTCATCACCGTCATCGTTATCATAATCATTATCATCATTATTATCATTGTTTCATCACCATAATCGTTATCATCATCATCATCAGCTGTTTCTGTGATTTTTGTTTCTTGCCATTGCTTCCTTTCCATTTCATTTCATCGTCTTTTAGCAAGAATGTCTTAGGAGACACATACATATGCATACACAGACATACACACACACACACACATACACATACATACCACATGCATACATACAAGTTTTGTTTGTAATATCATCAACGATAGCACCGCCAGATTGACTGTCCCCTGTTGTTTCCCTCCGCCAACTATTGATGATGGCGATACGATGTGATTGTCATTGTCGTCATCTTACTTACTTACTTACTTACTTACTTACTTCCCTCTCTACTTATTGTCATCAGTCATTTGCAAATTTTATCATCTTTTACCTTCAACTTATTTTATCCCACATTGCTTTCTATATATTTTCAATGATTTTTACTGATTGCTCTAAAAAAAAGACTTCCAAATATGCTTAAAATTTTTTTTTTCTTTCTTTCTTTCTCTCTTTCTCTCTACTTCTTTTCGTCTTCTTTCTTTCTTACTTTATTTATTTCAAAAAATTTTTGAAAATTTCTTGATTCCTTTGATACAGTGATATACATCTATAATTGTAAATTTGAAAATGAGATAATAACGATTAAATCAATTCTCTTTTTTCCTTTTTTTCTTTTTCATTTATCATTAAAATTTGCATTTAATGATAAAATTGTTAACTAAATGATAAATTTTTTTTGTTAAATATTAATCAACTTTTCTTTTTTTATCATATTAAAATATATTAATACAGCATCTTTTCCATTCTTTTATAAATTAATTCTCATTTGATAAATTATCATTTTTACACTAAATAGCAAATGATGTCAATGTTTCAAAAAAAAAAAATTATTTTTTTATTCGAGAAAATTTACAAAAAAAAAAAACAATCCTATATTTTTAACTTTTTTTTTCTCGACAAAAGGAAAAAAAAAATTTTTCAGTAAATGTAAATTTCAAGTAGAAAAAAAAAAAAAATGAAATGTTTGTTGATTACATGTAATTTTTAGCATCATTTTTTTTTAATATTTCCTTCAGTTTCGTTTTTTTTTTTTTTTTTTTAAAAATGAAAAAATTTTTTGCAAAAAAAAATGTAAGTATTGAAGTATAAACGAAGAGCAAAAGGAAAAGAAAATAAAAATAAAAAAAAAAAAGAAAAAAACGAAATTAGAATTTTCTTTTGATGTAAATACAATTGTGAATGGATTTTAATAGTAAAAATTTTAAAAACAAAGATAAAAAAAAAATATTTTTATTGCGTATTTACGCATCATTGATATTTTAGGTGGAATTTATTTAGGTCAAAAAAATTTTTTCCTTCTTTCTCATTCAATAAACACTCATCAAAAAAATTTCTTTTTCTTATAATTCATATATTTGCTTGACATTTCATAAATTTAAAAAATTTTTTTACCTTTTCTTTCTTTTCTAATTTTTAAATTTTGATCTGTTATTAATTCTTTCTCTCTTTTTTTTCCATTTTTTGTTTTGTAAATTAAATTAAACTGTGAAGTTATTTATGATAGTAAAGGAAAAAATTAAGAAATCAAAAAATATTTTATTTGAAGTAAAGAGTGAAAAATTTGGATAAATTGAAGTAAGAATTTGAAATCTGAAAGATTATTTTTGCATGATTGTATATGCTTTTGCAAGTAATTTATGTAGTTAATAAAATTCTTCTAAAAATCAAATTTTTTAAAAACCAAGTAATTAACTTACTTTAGTTACCTATTGTTTTCTTCTTTACTATTTGCTAAGTGATCTTGTATATTAGAAGCAGTAATTAATTAATTAATTAATTTTTGTTAGTTAAAAGGGTATTAATCCAGGAATGGAATAGATAGATATATTGATAAAATTATACTAAAAGAAGTTGAAATTATCAAAGAAAAATTGATTGAAGCAAAAAAAAAAAAGAAAAATAAATTTTTATTAATTTTGATATTTCTATTTAAAATCAAAAGGAAAATAAAATCATAAAAAAAAAAAGAATTCCAATATAAAATTCTTTAGTTATTTTTTATTACATGCAAAAAATTTTTGATTATTTTTTATCATTTAATTTAAATTTTATTTCATAAGAATCATTTTTTTTTTTAAAAAAATTGTTAATGAAAATTTTGTATTCTATTTTTTAAATGAATCATTTTAGTTGTTTTGTAATCTAATGTACATATCTAATCTTGATCTTAACCGTATCCTTTATGATAAACGAGAAAAAAAAAAATTGAAATGAAATGTATCAATCGTTGTTGAACTTTTTTTCTTCCTATCGAATAAAAAATTTTTTCATTGCTAATTTACATATCAGATGGTTATCACATCTATCGTTTATTTGATGGATAATAAAAAGAAGAAATGAATGAATGAATGATTGGGAAAGGGAAAGGAAAGGAAAGGAAGCATTTCTCAATCAAAATATTTCTTTTTCTTTTTTTTTTAAGCATCATTTTTTTTTTTGGATTTAAAAAAATAAAAAAAAGATGAAAAGTTGATATTTTCCGGATAATCTTCCGAATAATTAAAGAATTAAAATAATATAACTTACTGATAATATGATAACATTAACTATTACTGTGTATGTATGTATGTGTATGTATGTATGTGTATGTGTATGTATGTATGTGTATGTGTATGTATGTATGTGTCTGTGTTACGACATATCAAATACAATTGGGACAAAAATTCCATTCCAATTGATCATTTATCACAAGAAAGAGAAGAAATGACGGAATGGAGCAGAAAAAAAAGTTTTATAAGTGAATATGCATTTGATATGTTTGCTAATCGTTTCTTTTTCTTTTTTCTTCTTTTTTTTTCTCGTTCCGGTTGAAAGAATGTTATTTTTATCATTAAAACCAACAATAACATTGTCATAGTTATCGTCATTATCATTGTTATCAATATTATCATTATCTTGGATTAATTCATTACATTAATATCACTATCGTTATCAACATTATCATTATCTTAGATTAATTCATAGCATTAATATCACTATTTTTATCAGTATTACCATTATTTTTAATTAATTCATGACATTAATATCATTATTGTTATGAATATTATCATTATCTTAGATTAATTCTTAACATCTATGTCATTATCTTTATCAACATTACCATTATTTTTGATTAATTCATAATAATAGCGTCTTCATTATCTGTCTAAAATATTATTTATTATTTGAATCATTAATGATACTCCATATTATATCGCATATTGTTATCACTGCCAATATTTTTCCTTATCATTATTATCATTATTCATACATTTTTACTATTTATATCAAACATTACTATCTTTTTTTCTCTTATTTTCTTCACTATTTATCCTCATATACGTTATCATTTATCACTATGATTTTAAACTTATTTCATCCAAAAAAAAAAAAAGAAACGAAAATTTGAATGAATTTAAAAAGTAAAACATTTGTTATTTTTACTTGTAGAATGTTTATATTTATATTTAGTTTTGTTGTAGGATTAATTAAATAACAATTGATGTCGAAAGTGAAATAATTTGTCAAAATAATTAATGATAAAGAGGAAATGCACAAAATGTTACAATGAGACAATGATTGTGTATAGAAATTTGGATGACAGTAAACAATCAATTGGGTGGAGTGAAAGTAAATTAAGAAAGTAAACAAACAACTCTGATCCACTTAAGTAATACACCTACCTGAACTAGCACTGTCCTTCATCAATATTTCAGTTTTTCCTTTAAATTAATTAATTAATTGTAATTAATTAGTTATAGCTTTGTTTATTTACGTTTTTTTTTTCTTTTTTGTTTAATATTAATTCAACAAAAAAGAAAATTACTGCATGTAATATAATGTTAAAAAAAAAATAAATAAATAAATTGAGGAATGAAATTAAATTTAACTAAGTCGAAATGAAGCTACCAAATTCAAATTAATTAGCTTATCATCTTGTTTAGGCTTAATTTAAATTTTTCTTTTTGCTATTATAGTTGAATGTGTCATTCAGTAGCTTACTATCATATGAAATACTATATAATTTGGAATTCAAGTTTTATTTAAAATCAAATAAAATTGAAGTAATTTTATAAAGTTACTTAATAAATTGCAATTTTTGTATATCAAAAAAAAAAAAATAGCGGAAAAGAGTGCTAAAATAAAAAAAAAATGCTAATTTTACTTAGCTTAAATAAGACTTAAAATAAAGTTTTATCACTTTTATAGCTAAAAAAAAAATTAATTTCCTTTCTTTTTACCTTTGTTTCTTTCAATTACGTTTTTTGAAATATTCTTGATTTAAATTTCCTAATTAATAAATTCCCATTTAAAAAGAAATAATTTAATTTTAAATGGAATCATTTAAAATTAAATTATTTCACTTTATTATTCAACAATTAGCACAATCGCATTACACATATATCATTATTATTTATTAATTAAGAAATTTAAAACCAATAATATTTCAAAAAATCTAATTAAAAGAAGAAAAAAAAAAGATAGAAATAATGAAACTTACTAATTCAATTTATTTTTTCTTTTCATTATTTATTTTATGAAATGAATAATAAAATTTAATTTGAAATAATTAAAAATTTCTTTTTTGTGAAAATGATCAATTTTATTTGTAGCAAAGTTATTTTTTTTTTTTTTTGATTATTTGTTTGAAAGAATTTAAAAATTTATTTTATTTTATCTTTATTTTTTTTTTTTTTTGCTTTCAGGCAAGAATAATGCAATGATTATTATTTCAAAAATGTTACATATGCCATTAAAATTAAAATGGGGTAAAAAAAGTGGTCGATATGATCTAAGCCAAGATATTTACGTATTAACTGTTTACCTTGGTGATTATGCAATCCTTCAATGTACACTAACAACCGAAAGTACCGCAAGTCAATGCATGGAATATCTTAGCCAAAAAGTTGATCTTAATCAGGTTAGTATATATGTAAATTTTATTAAAATTTACATATATAAATGGTAAAATAAAAAGCAGTGGTAGTAATAAGCAAGAAAGCAAAGCAAACAAACAAATAAATAAACAAACAAAGACAAATAAACAAAAACAAATAAACAAAAAAAGAGAGAGAGAAAAAAGTATAATTAAATCTAACAAAAAAAAAAATTAGTAGTAAGTTGTAAATTTTAATTTTTTTTTTTATTTGGTTGGATAGTGTCATATTATAGGATATGGATGAATAACAAATAAATGAAGTGATTGGATCTATATATATATATAAAATTGATAGGTAAGAGATATATGCTCATAAATAGTTTACATAAACAATACAAAATCTTTTTTTGTTTTTTTGATTTGTTTATTTGTTTACTTATTTATTTTATTATTTATTTTTTCATATTATAATATGTTTATTTAATTGTTTTATTAGATGCAAGGCTTTTCCTTTTTTTCTTTTGTTACCTATTTTAATTTAAGCTCTTTTTTTTTTAATATTTTAAATTTATTACAGGTAGAAATGTTTGGTTTACGATATCAAATGAAAACAAACGATCCAGATAATAGGATGATGCGTTGGGTGGAACTTGATAAGCCATTAAGACGACAACTGGAAAAATGGGCTTGCAAACCGCGACAAGTACAATTAGCTGTCCTCTATCATACACCAAATGCATTTACATTAACTGATCAAATGGCTAGGTGATATCAAATTTTAATAATTTAAAAAAGAAAAAAAAAAAAAAAAAGATTAAAAATGATTGATTAAAATTTTTTTTGACAAAATAATTTTTGAAAATGCACAAGAAAAAGATGAAAAATGATAGATTTGTATTCATTCTATGAAATAATAATTTTGTTAATCTCTTCTTTTTTTTTTTTCATTTTTTTTTCTAATTGTTAGATTAAATTTAAAAGGAAATAAATTGTAAATAAATGAAATAAATATATTAATGTTGTTTTTGCTTTTATAATGAATTTTTTTTTTTTATAATTTTTGAAATAAGTAAGCAAAATTAATAAACTAACATTTCTTCTTTTTTTTTTTTTTTTAATTTTTCTTGTAAAATGAGACAAAAAAAAAAGACGAGAAGTTTTCAATTTTAAATTAAATTAAAAAGGGTAAGAAAAGGAGAAAGAAAAAATTTTGTTTCATTTAAAATAATTGTGATAAAAGAAAAAAATTTTTTTTTTTTTTAGATCGTACTATTTTTTCCTGATGAAATTGGATGTTGTTGAAGGTAAATTAACGGTTGCACTCGAAAAATATATTAATCTTGCAGCTTACAGTCTTCAAGGTAAGACAACAATTTGTATTAATTAAAAATAAGAAAAACTAAAAAAAAATAAAAAACATTTAAATTCATAAAAAGTAAGAAAAATTAAAAAATAAAAAACATTTAAATTGATTAAAAGTAAGAAAAATTAAAAAATAAAAACATTTAAATTGATTAAAAGTAAGAAAAATTAAAAAATAAAAACATTTAAATTGATTAAAAGTATTGATTAAAAGTAAGAAAAAATTAAAAATAGAAACATTTAAATTGATTAAAAGTAAGAAAAAATAAAAACCTTTAAATTGATTAAAAGTAAGAAAAATTTAAAAAAAATTTCTATTAAATTTTATTTAAAATTAAATGAGTAATTAAATATTAAAAGTGATGAAATTATTTAAATTGATTTGATGTTTGATCATTGTTCTATTTGTTTCTTTTTTCTTCTTTCTTTTTTTTTTGCTCTATTATCCTTTAGAAAATTTGAAATGAAATCATTTTTGTTTTCTATGCAAAGTAAAATTTTATTTAACAAAAAAAAAAAAAATGCATTTATTCCCTTTTCCATTTTTTAAAACCTAAAAATAATTTGCATTCTGTAAACAAAATATATTAAATATAAGTATTACATTTTCAAAATTTAATATTATTTTTATTATTTGAGTATTTTTTTTACATCTCCAAATTTCGACGTTATTTAAATTACTATAAAATATTTTCGGCGCTATTCAAACAGTAAAAAATATAAAATAATTTTTTTGAAATTTGAAATATATACTTTTGTATTGGTTTATGATAAGTTTATCACTCTATGATAGCTTTATCAGTTCGTTTTCAAGACTTTTTTCTTGCAAAATGGATAATTTTTAAAATTCTAATTTTTGGTTTTATCAATAACTTTTCAATTTTATATTGATTAGTTAAGTGGGTAGGAATGTTAATTATAATTTAGTATGGTTATACAATTAATTAATTAAAAAAATTTTTTTTTGTCCTTTACTTGAAATTAATCTGATTGAAACGATTATTTTGAAAATTTTTTTAAAACTGTTTGAAGTTTTTTTGTGAAATGAAGTTATTTATGAAATTTTGTTATTTTTCGATATCTTTCTTTAATTTTCTTAAATAATAATTATTTAATTATTATTTATTTATAATATTTATTATAAAATTTTTAAATATTACTTTTATTTCATTGTCTTTTTTTTCTTCTTTTTTCAAATTTAATTCAAAGATTATTTATTTCCAGTAGAGTACGGTGATTTTGATCCAACAATACATACAATTGATTTTATGCAAACTGTACCTCTTTTACCAAAGGTAAGTAAAATAAAAATTATAAATAAGTGATTTTTTTTTAATTTTTATTTCAAAGATTTTAAAATTTTACCAAAATTTTAATTTTTATATAATAATAATAACAATTCATATAAAAATTTAATTTAATTTTTCTTTAAAATTTCATTCAAATTTTTATGATTCTAAAATGATAACCAATAAATAATTTTTTTTTTTTTAAAACGAAAATTTCAAATTTTTATTTTATTTAAATTTTTATTTCTCTTTTTTTAATATTTGCAGCATATTTGTCGAAGTGCACAAATTCAGGAAGATTTATTAAAACGAGTATCAGCGGTACATGAACGATTAAAAGGTATGCAACCTAGTTATGCTGCATTATTATATATCGTTGATGCACAACAATGTGAAGGTTATGGCGAAGAATATTTTAATGGAAAGGTAAATTTAAATTTAAATAAATATTTTAATTTTTTTGTTTGTTTTCAATCAATTATAAAAATTGATTAGTTTTTGAAAAATTATTTTCAAAAATTTATTAAATATGTAATGTGATTTTTTTTACAAATATATTATAATTAATTCTTTTTTTTTTTGACAATTATTTCAAAAATTTATTAAATATTTAATGCGATTTTTTTTACAAATATATTATAATTAATTCTTTTCTCTTCTGTTTTTAAATAATTTATGAATTTTTCAAAAAAAGAAAAGAGAGAGAGAGAGAAAAAATTGATACATTTTTAGGATGAAGATAGTACAGAGGTAAAAATTGGATATTCTCAGGAAGGTATTATTATCAAAGGATCATATGGTGCACCATTAAAGCATAAGTAAATTCGTAAAAATTATTTTTCAAATTTTTTAATCGAAAAAAAACGAAAAAAAGATTTATTAAAATTTAATATTTTTCGAAAAAACAAAAAAAAGAACGATGGAAATAAAATAATTGAATGTTACAAATCAAATTTGTTGTTGATTTTGGATGGGAACAGATCAAAGATATGCATGCAATGAAACGACATTTAAATGTTCGACTTCATGATGGAACATTAATTCAATTTACTATGGTAGTTTTTAAATTTAAAAAAATGAATTAGCTAATAATAAAAAATAAACTTGAAATTGTGCAATCTTTTTTTTTGATTTCAATAAAACAAACAAAAAAAAGTAAATTTAATTTTAATTTTTATTTATTTTTTAAATTATAATTTTATTTAGGAAGATTTAGAAATGGTACGTTATGTAGCACTGTAGTATTAAAATATTTACTTTAAATTTTGAAAGAAAAAAAAATTAAACTTGAAACTGTGCCAACTTTTTTTAATTTCAGTGAAAAAAAGGAAATTAAATTTAAATTTAATTTTAATTTTTATAGGAAGATGTAGAAATGGTACGTTATGTAGCACTGTAGTATTAAAATATTTACTTTAAATTTTGAAAAAAAAAGGAAAAAAAGTGAAAAAAAATGAAAGGAAAAAAAAACTAAACTTGAAACTGTGCCAACTTTTTTTAATTTCAGTAATCAAATTTAAATTTAATTTTAATTTTAATTTTTATAGGAAGATGTAGAAATGGCACGTTATGTAGCAATGGTAATGATGTGGCAATTTCGTTATGCGACAAATAAAGCAATCATTGAAAAAAATAGTCCAATGAAGTAAAAAAAAAAAAAAAACAAAAAAAAAAAGAAAATTATATAAAATACATAAATATTTTTTTCAATGTTTTAATTATATTTAAAATAAATTTAAATTTAGAAATGGAATAATTAAATTAAAAAAAAAATTATAGTTTAAACTATCCTTTCTCATTGATCTACTTTTTTTTATTTTTGTTTTGTATCTATTTATTGTCATTTATTGTTTATTTTTTAATTTGCATCAATTTTTTAGATTTAAAATATTGACGTCAAACTTTTTTCCTTTTTGAAAACTCTAACTAAAGAATATTTATAAAATTTATATTTATATACATTTTTACAAATTCTTTTTTTTTTTTAAAAAAAATATATATATATGAATAAATTTTTTATATATAGCCATAAAATTGACTAAAATTCTTACTTATTACTTCATTTTAAAAATTTTGATTAATTCTCGATTAGTTAGAAGAAAAAATAATTATTTGCTGAAAAAATTCAAAAAATAAAAGTTTATAATTTTTGCAGTATCAATAATTTGCAAGGAAGTATTCGAACATTCAATTTAATGAGATCATCAAATGCTGAGGTACTTCATTTAATACTTAATAATTTAAATATAACATTTTTAATTTGTTACATAATTAAGATTTAAATTATTTTTCACATAGTTTAGCTACTATTTATCTATAATTTTTAACAATTAAACAAATTACTGTAATTAAAATTGGAATTTTTTTTTTTTTTGAATTATTTAATATATCTTTAATTCTGGAAATTTTTTTCTTTTTTTTTCTTCATAAAAAACCAAAAATTATTACTTTCATTATTTTTATAACATAGAAACTATATGATTTGAAAAGTTGAAGTAATTTTAGTTTTTTTTTAAATAAAAAAATTTTTTTAGCTTAATACAACTCGTCTAAATGGACCAGATTATGCATCATTAGTTTATACAATGATGCCTGAACCAACGTATTGCTCCTCTACCCAACGTTTACCGTCAACGAAAAGATCGCAGCGTACGTCACTTTTACAGGCTACGTCAATGTATAATTTATCAACGTATACTGATTCCAATGACACGCAAACGCAACCAGCAAAGCGTTCACCATTAACTTCATTATTACAATATAATAAAGCAAAAAATGGTATATTATTTTATAAATTGGATATTATCCAAAAATTAATTCAATCCTTAAATTAAATTAATTAACTTAAATTAGATAAATGAAAATATGATATTTTAATGTTTTCATTTGAATTACAAAAAATGTTCAGCCCAAATGTTATTTGTAAAAATCAAAATCAAAATTTCAATTGTATAAATGTGCAAATTGTAATTTAGTAATAAAAAATAGATAAGTAAAAATAAGAATAATTTCTAAATTTGAATATATATAAAAGAAAATGATATTATCAAATAATATTATCATTAATTAGTAAATCAAAAAAGCAAATTACTAAAATTATTTCATAATTTTGATAAGACTTTTTGCCTTGCATATTTTAATTTCAATGTAACAAAAATTTGTTATAAATTTTGATCAATAAAAAGTTCTCAAACAATCAAAAATAATTTATAATTTAATTAAAAAGAAAAAAAACACTGAAATTTAATGTAAAATTCTAGTTGTTCTAAAATTAAAATAGCCAAATTTTAAATTAGAAACTGATCAATGTTAATTTTGTTTTTTCAATTTATTTTAATTGATCAAATAATATTAACAGGTATTGCTGATATATTACTATCAAATGATCAAACAAACATTGAAATTGAAAATGTTTCCCGGAATGTACTATCAAAATCAACTGCAGCATTAAATTTTATGAATGATGAAGAATGTAATTCACCATCAGATGTTTTATATTGCTCAACACCCTTTCTGCTACAAAATAATGCCAAGGTTTTTATTGTTTTTTTTTTGCTTTTGATATTTTTATTTTCAATTTTAAAATTTAATTTCAACTTTTCAAATATTTACGATTTAAAATTGCAGTAAAGCTGTGTTTGAGTATTCAGATTGATATCATCATCTGATCAAATGAAGAAGGATCATGTTTATAGTTTAACTACTAGTAGTAGTAGTAATATTATAATTAATTATTGTAATTAGTTGTACCAAAACCGGTTCAATAGCAGTATTAGTGGAATTAATATTTCTGTAGGATGCTTCATCACCGGAAGATAATCACCGGAATATGATTCCTTCTGTTGCTGAAAATGATGCTCAAAAATTTGAATTTCATAGTTTTGCTGCTTTAGGAAAACGTCATTTAACTGATACGGTAATATTTAAAATTTATGATATAGTTTTTATCTTACAATAAGAAATTCATTAACCTAATGCATGCAAAATTTTACATTGAAATATAAAAAATATTAAAAATATTAATTAAAGAAAATGGATTGATAGAATTGAGAGTGAAGTTGAATTTTTGTTAAAAGGAAAAAAAAAAAAACGAAGAAGAAGCTTTGTTCTTTTTTCAGATGACTGGTTCCTCACCGGAAATCCGCATGATTGGCGGCGGAACGCATACATTAGGTCGAAGCGCTGCGGCATTAGTGCATAAGCATTCATTGCTTGCAAATGGATCACAAAAGGTACTTATTAACATTGATACTAAGTAATTTCATTTGTTTGATTGAAGCAACTAACCAACAATCATTACTGTACAAATATATTGCAAAAATAAATTTAACAGTTTAATGATTAAGCGTATCTATCAGAAAATTTCCAGCGGATTTATTTCGAAAATTGCATCGGATTTTTTAAAAAATTATTATTTCAACTGCTAATTCCTGATAATTACTTCTTCTTAACATTTCTTAGTTTATTTTTTTAGCGGAAAAAAAAATGGAGCAAATTAAAATTTTAAATGTAATTATTATCCCATCTTTAGATTTCAATTAAACTTTTATGTTTTTTTTTTCTATCTATTTCTTTAACATTCTTATCATTGATAACAAGTATTGCAGACATCTCCGGCTCATGCACTTAGTAGTCCGGATCTATTGAGTACTTGTCATTCATCACCTGATCTTATCACTTCCGTATTAGACCGATATCGATTAGCTGTAGCTGAAGCAGAATTACGAGCCGCTGCTGTTGTATCACAAAAGTCATCGAAATTACAACACCTGAATGGTACCATTCAAACTGGCAGACATTGGCAAACAGTAAAAGGTTATGGAACTTATATATTACCATCATCACAATCAACAATTGTTAAATCACAGGTAATAATAATTCTATTTGGTGACACAATTTTATTAAATTCACTTAATAGATATGAAATTAATTTTTGATGATTTATTAATTTGTACTATTTCTTTAGATTTTATATCACATTTTTTCATTTCTAAATTATCTTATCTCATTTAATTTTAATTATTGTAAGTTGTAAAAAGAAAAAAAAAAGATTTCCAGTCAATTACATTCTGAGAAATCTTTTCTTTTTTTTGAAAAATTTGAAGTTTTTTTTTTTCTTCAAATATCTTAAATAATTCTATTATTATAGCAGAATATGAATGACGAATCACAAAGAAAGAATGGTGACAATAGTAAGATAGCGACACATACGACAAGATTTATGATGATGGATGGTGGTACTAAGAAAGATTTTAATGAACAGATAACAAAAGATGTTTTGAGGAAAAAATTATGCAAGAAATCATCACCAATGATAACAACAACATCATCATCAACATCATCATCATCACAAGCAACATTTTTTCATCATCAACATCAACATCAACATCATCATAATCATCCAACAACATCAAAAATTAAAGGTCAAACTCAACCAATTTCATATTTAGCTCAAGCTGGACACATCTATTATCCACCATCATCATCATTTATGCAAATTCATGACATTCATCGACAGCAAAATGGTAAAACAAATAATTTTGGTAGTCCAAATGAGACAAATTTAGGCGTAACACACGCTAACAATGCTATGAAATTATCACAAGCATTTTTGACGCATCAACGTTACGAGATTATTGAGGAAGATCGAACGCCACAAACATTCGTACGTCGAATTCATGAATTTCGCACACCCATAACTGCTGCTGCTGCTGCTGATAATGATGATGATGATGATGGTACAAAAGCGCTTCCAATTCAAAATGCGCCTCTTATCGTATCATCATCACGAAGTATTTCATCTCCTGATGTTTTCAACAATCGTACCAAAAATTCAATCACCAAACAATTAAGTGCTTCATCGATTGATTCCACACAATCTATTGCTATTCGATCAGTTACTGCATTAGAACATTTCTCGAGCGGAAATGGTTCCGAGAATATCTCATCACAAATTATGCCAAATGAATCATCAGAATGTACAGTTTGTGATAAAGCAACAAATATCTGTGAAGCGGTAAATACTTTTGTTTATTTGTTTGTTTTTTTCTTTATCTAATTTATTTAATCAAATTTTAAAGTTATTCATTAATTACTATTTATTCTCTGTGCTCAAATGCAAGAATGACACAAATGCGTATTGCTGGAAGGAATACACATCAAATTATATTGTTTTTTTTTTTAATTTAATTTAATTTTAAATTTAATTTTTGTCTATTTGTTTATTTTTAATTTAATTAATTTAACTAAGTATTTGATATTTCGAAGTTTATGCGAACTTTTTTTTTTGTTTTAAAAAAATTGTATTTGAAATATTAAGAAAAGATGAATTTTCTTCAAGTTCAGTTCCTCGCAATCTGTGACATTTTATTTGCAGCAATGACATCATAAATGATGCATTGAACTAAGAAAGAGTATTCAGAAAGTTTACGTTTGACAAACAATTTTGTCACATATATTTCAGATAATTTTTTTTGGAATAATTGTCGACTAAATTTTATTTCCATTCTAACAATAATTTCATTTAATTTTCAAATTTAAAAGTTAGAAACTTTTTTTTTTGATTTATTTCAAATTAACAATGAAAATTTCATAAGTTCTTTCTTTCTTTTTTTTTTATTTTATTTTTTCTGTTAATAAAACGGAAATGAACGACAATTTTAGTGGAATTCATTTAATTCCAAATTTGATTGCAAATTTTTTCCCTTCTGATTGTTAGCCTTTCATTGCATTAATTTGAAAAAAACGATTATCGTGTAAACAAAATTTTTATTCGTTAACAAATAATAAAATGCTTTATCAGGAATTACGTTTCCGGTTTATTTTATCCAAAAATTTTTACACTTACTGCTATGCCCCTCCCAACCGGCAATTTTCACTATTTTTTCCCTTTTTTTTTCTGAATCAAATTCATTGTTTGTTATAGGAAAGTTCATGTGAAGCAGCTTTTTTCTTTTTTTTTTTTATTTTCTTAGCTAATAGAATTGAAATTGATCTGAAATTTGAATTAAAAAATATTTCTCATTAATCTTTTTTGATAATTCATTTAATTTCTAATTCTCTTAAAAATTTTCCCTTCTTTGTTTCTTTTCTTTTCTTCGTTTAATTTCTCATTGTACCATTTAATGTAATTAAATTCTAACAATAAATTCATTCGATTCGACAAGGATTATTTTTGCATCTTTTTATATTCTTCTTGACAAAATGACGATATTTTCCATTTATTTATTTCATTTTCAAATCTCTTCCATTTCTCTTTCTCTCTTCTCTATCATTTCATATCTTTTATTACAATCTATTTACCTGAGAGAATTTCAGGAGGAACATTTCCTCTTTCTCTTCTTATCATTTTCATTGTCTCTTTTCCGTATAGAAAGTTATAATTTTTGTAGTAGTATTATTCATTCAACCTTCTAATCATGAAAATTTTGAAAGTAATATCTTATAGTATAAAGGTGAAAAAGAGTGATTGATCAGTTTAAAAGATCAGAATGCTATTTACTAAAGTTTTATTATCTCTAATTACTTACTGTGTTACATATCCATTTCAGGGCTTTTAATGATGATCTGAAATCTATCTATTCGATCTTAAATCTCTGAAATTTATCTATTCGATCTTATATCTCTGAAATTTATTTATTCGATCTTAAATCTCTGAAATTTATCTATTTCAATTATTGCAAAGTTTATACTTTGGCTTTTCATTTGTATTTTTTTTAGTTTTTATTACTTTTTTTTTTAACTTCTGATAGCCAAAGCATTTCTGAGCAAACATTTCACACATAATTGCAAAAATAACTCATTTATCTTTTAAATAGAAAAAGCGAGATGACAAAATGATTAATGGATATAGCCATGTTTGTTATTCTAAATAACCAAATAATATAAGAATTCCAATAGTGTCGAAAAAATAATTAATTTTTTATTTTTAAATCTTTGACTAGTTAATAATTTAAATCTCTGACTAGTTAATAATTTAAATCTTTGGTTAATTAATAACTTAAATCTTTGACTAGTTAATAATTTAAATCTTTGATTAGTTAATAATTTAAATCTTTGATTAGTTAATAATTTAAATCTTTGATTAGTTAATAATTTAAATCTTTGGTTAAAAACTAATTTATCCACTAGGCATTGATCAATTTTTGAAATTTTTATATGTAATTGACAAGAATAACTTTTTTTTTTTGTTCAAGGATTTTGTTCAAAATGAGGAATTGTTAGCTAATCGTGAAGTTAGCTTGACTGAATCGGTCAGAGAGATGTCACAACGGTTTTCTTCACGACATATAATGGTCAACAGTGCATTGCAACATCGTATTACAAATACTCATGGACATTTTACCAATTTGATTGGTGATCAATTATCAATCAATGATCAATTATCAATCCCAACAAACGATCAAACAGTAAGTTTGTTGAAATTAAAAGCTATTTTAAGAGCTATAAAATTAGTTTATTCTAAAATTTTATTGAAGTTAAAAATTATTTTAAAAATCATAAAGTGCTATATTCTAAAAGTTTGATCAAGCTGGAAATTATTAACAAATGTTAACGTTAAAAATAACTGAGAAAGTGATGATTATTTGTTGAAAGTTTTGTTGAGAGTTCTGTGATAAGCATAGATCATATAAGTATTTCACGTAATCTTCACGTATTTCTTCGATAACTTTTTTTGATACATGTGATACTTTGAAATAATATGCAAAAGATTTTTATTTTTTTTTGCAGCTGAAAAGACTTCTAACAAAATTAGCAGCTGATGATGCTTTAGATGAAGAATTCGCAGTGATTCCGAATAAACGTATGTCTGCCGGTGTATCAACAAGTCAAAGACCGGAAAATATGGTATAGTTTCTTGAAATTTATTCATTCACAACGGAAAATGAATGAATGATAATAAATATGATAAGATTGATTTTATCAATTTCTTGATCCATTTTCAAATATTTTTCTTATCCAAACTTCCAGGGAATTTATTTAGTACCTGATTATTTTAAATTTCAATTTGAAAGCTTGATCTTTGAGGGAATTGTAATAGAAGGATGAGTTTATGGATGAAAAAAAAAAGTAGAGATTTTTACTTTCATTTTATTTTGTGTCCGAACTTGGCTAATTTTCAAGAAAGTGTTTTCAAGAAGAAATTTCCAGAAACGAAACCGTACACGATCGATAGTGCCATACGAAGATACACGAATTATGTTGCATTCAAAACAGTCAAATCCAACAGGCTATATTAATGCCTCAAACATTCAGGTAATTCAGCTTTAGAGAATTCACTAATTCGTAAAAATTTCTTCTCATTAAATTTGCATATTATAGATTCCAATTGGCAATCGAATTTTGAAATATATATTGGCGCAGGCTCCACTTCCGGATACCATTGAAGATTTCTGGCAAATGATTTGGGAATCCGGTTCACAGCTCATTGTCATGCTTTGCGGTGCTCAAGTAAGGAATCAAATATTATTAATCTTAGGAATAGGAAACGTAATACCCACTGATCGATAAGTGATAAACAATTAATTACTATGAAATTAAATGTAAAGATTATTGCAAAAAAAAAGTTAATTAATATTTCAAAGAGAGATTTTAATTAACTTTTTATGAATGGTTTAAAACTTTAAAGAAATAAAATTTAAAGAGATATATATTACATAGAGATTGATATATGTGATATGAAGTAAAATAAGCTTGATAAGAAAAAAGAAATGAATATTTATTCTATTATTTTTCAATCATAAAAAGATATCTTTAGGATTGTAAAGGTACCACAACACCCATTTATTGGCCAACAAAAGTAATGAGCAAACTAAGATTATCAGATCACTCAGTGACGCTACTTTCGAGTACGTCAAGCAAACATCAGGTAACAATGATGTTTCAATTGAAACAGAATTCGAATGGAGAACGACGAACCATTTATCATCTCAGATTGATGGATTGGGAAAGTGGTGGAATACCACCGAGTGAGGAATCTTTCTTAGGTAAGTTTATTCACCTGTCCCAGAAGAGTACTGCCCTCTTAAATTTTACTCATCTTTTAAAATTATGATATTGGTAATGAAACATAGCTACAACTATCAGATTCCAAACTCCAATCCTTATTATTAGACCTTATTAATTTATTTTTTTGCAATTTTTTTTTTTTTTTAAAAAAAACTAATTTCTTTCCTTGTATTTTGTAATCTTCAATTGTTCATCATTCAGTTTATTTTAAAATCATTCATTCTAAGGTAAATATGCCAGTGAATAAGTAAAAATTGGTTCAGGCTTGATTTATCAGTTCAAAAATAAACATTTCTTTAGCCAACATTTCAATTAATAGTAGCTTTTCCTAGAAAAATTTCATTCCCTTTCTGAAGTCAATAATAAACCAATTATTTTTTATTTTTTTATAGTTATTATTTGTTTACTTATTTTTTAATTAATTTTTAGTTATCGATTAATTAATTAGGTAGTGCAATGAAAGAAAGAAACTAAAAAAGCTTTCACTTCTAGCTGTATCCTTTAGGATTTATGGATGCTGTCAATAGTGTTCGACGACATTTGGAAAATGAAAAGTTAAAGGAAGTGGATTTTGGAGCAATATCAGGATCTAAAAATAATCGAAACAATTGTCATGTAATTTTTTCTATCAAATTTTTCTATCAAATTTCTATCAAAAATTTTTCAATCAAATTTGTCATGTAATTTTCTATCAAATATTCGGGTGATATTAATTCTTTTTTTCTTTTTTTTTTTAGAATAATATTTGTAGATAAATTTAACGCACCCAACAAATCGAAATACAACACAATCGACTGATCTCGGTTATTATAACTGGTGTAAAAAAGGATTGCATGTTGTTAATTATGCATTGCATCATTCACCTTCCAGGTAATCTTACTATAATCAAATGATCAAGTAATACTTGTAAAATGACAGAAAAGAAGAAAATTTTAGGTTTAAAGAAAGGAAATTTAAGCATTTACCTGTTGAACATAACTTAAAATGACACAAAGTGGAAAAAAGAATGAAAAAGTTTAAATTTGAATTAAAAGAGATTCAACTGTAGCTATTCGAATGCTCTATCATCGGCATTTTCATCTAGCAGAAGAAATGACGTAATGGTAGATGCAGTTGTACCACCAACCGTAATACATTGCCTGACAGGTGCTCATGAATCTGGTGTTTATTTGCTTGTGGAATTGATGATTCACTGTATTGAGCATAACATGGTATGTTTACTTACAATGACAAACAATATTTAGAAGAGAAATTACTTATTCAAATAGCCATCTAGATTTTATAAAATAGAATGTTTAGGCATGTTTGTCTCTTAGCAAGGACGATATTTCGAAACTATTACTTTAAGTTTTTAATTTCACATTGAAATAAACACAGTTTCATTCTTTTGTTAGTTCTCGGGAATACTGTATTCTCATCCTCTTCTCTACGATGATAGTTCCCAGGAATACGGTACGCATATCGTCTTCCCTATGATAATAGTCCCCGGGAATACTGTTATTCATCCCCTTCTCTACGATAACAGTTCCTAGGAATACTGTATGTACATCGTCTTCCCTATGATAGTAGTTCCCGGGAATACTGTTATTCATCCCCTTCTCTACGGTAATAGTTCCCAGGGATACTGTATGTACATCGTCTTCCCTATCTTTTCCCTATGATAATAGTCCCCGAGAATACTGTATTTTTATATTTATTAGCATCAAAATCAGTTCAATTTTCTAAAGAATAAATTTGTTCAGTATGTGGATATTAGCAAAACATTGGCATTGTTACGACAGCAGAGAATGTGTCTCGTAAAAAATGTGGAACAATATCGCTTTGTATATTCTGCACTGATCATTTATTTGCAAAAGTCACGGCTCATTTAAAAGAAATGAAAGATTGTATCGAAAATTTTGTATGATTTAAAGTTTGTATCGAAAGCTTTGTATGATTTAAAGTTTGTACAGATGAATGTACTGTGTAATGGAGTGTCTTTGTTATGAATTTTATTCGCCAACAATTACATTACACAAAGTATTAATCTATCATAATGTACTGTTATTTACAAGTATAGAATGAAGGGAAAACAAACAAATATCAAAAATAAGTGAAAATTTTGAATTAAGGAAAAATGAATGAGTAACAATCAAATGATAGCATACTGATACTAAAAAATTAACTCACATAATGAATTTTATTTCCGCCTTATATAGTGGACATTAGCTTACAACGAAGCTCATTATTAGAATGAGTAAAGGAGCTGTCACTGCCAGATTATCTCAGTCCTTTATATAGTGCGGTAGACGTAGACGTGTACAGTATTACGTTTAAAAAGTTTAAACATTTTCTTAAACGAACTACAGCATTTTAAATAATGAAGAGAAGTTCAGAAAATGAAAGATAAGTGTTGGCTGAACGATTTCTTATCTAAAACATATGGTTGAAACAGTTTTATATTTATTTGATATTTAAATATGACAATCTTTAGTTTTATGATTTAGTAAGAATTCATTTCAACATATTATAATTTGGTTTTTCCGGCAGATATCATTATTCCAACATCTATGTAATCTGTAGTATATTAAATATGGAGATGATTGAATATTGTAATTAAACACTTTTTCATGCGATTTTAATTTCGATAGTTCTTTTCAATTATAGATGGAAAAGAACTGTCTATGATAGTTATTTTTGTTAAATATAAAACTAATTTTGGAAAACACTTTGTTTACTCATTGAGTTCACTCTTTATCTGAGTGAAAAGGAATCTAAAAACTAAAGTATCTTAGACAGTGGTCACACTTAATGTCCAATTAGGGCAGTTAAATGTCCAACTTTGTCAGTGACACTTTTCCATTTGTTTGTTTGTTTTCATACAATGTTGCATTGCCAATGTTTTGAATGTAAATTTGCTCAATCAAATTTCGCCACATTTAATCCTTTGTTTATTTAATATTCTAAATGACACAGTTAATTGTATATATTCTGTTCACTTTCCCTTTCTCACTTAAACAATATTTTCGTTTGTCGATTTAAACACATTTATTGTTACTGCGCCTTATAAGAATGAATGGTATTTGAGTCTTAAATTAGAATGGGATCAAAATAAATTAAATATGAAGAATTTAAAAATTTGCTTAGATTTCATTCTATTCGTTATAGAGAGTACAAAATGTGCACAGATAAATTTTAATTGAAAATTAACTTATTGAATAGATTGATGATTTGATGAGTTTTTCATTTTACTTTCAGCTAAATTTTGCACATTCAATTCATACTGTCCAGACTTTTCAGAAAAATTATTCCTTCGAAGTATAATACACCTCTGACCATCACTGACCTCTGACCACCACTAACCTCTGATCTTAAGTGAGCCATCTTATGGATGGATACTTTATTCCTATGATTCTCCTCCAACTCTCTTAATTACACTTTGCTCAGTCTGAAGAGAGGATGGACAAATGCGGTAGGGCGGTAATGACTCGTAGAAAAACTATTTTCAAAAATAGGACAGATGAGCTCAAGCAGTTAGCCTTCCTTTTTTCAAATTTTACCTCCGATTCCATAATTAAAAAGGAAGATAAAAATTAGTGAAATACACAGCGGTGCTACCACTACTTATTGAGAATGAGTAATTCAAAAGAAAGAAGCTAAAAGCGAAGGTATGTTTTATTTAGAAATCGACCTTGTATAAACAATCAGACAGAATGGTCACTGCTGTACGACCTTTTTCTGTGGTCAGTGTAAAATTCGGCTATGATGAACGTGCCAAAACGTTCAGGTCATTATTGTCACAACTGCAATATAATGCATATCGATAACAATGTATAAAAGTGAAATTAACAAAACATTGAAAAATTTTATGAAAACGGAACAAACCAAAAGTGAAAAGTGTGAAGTAAATTATCAAAAATCTAACTTTCTACTATCTCATAGTGAAGGAAACTGACACGGATAATCTCGGATTTATTACAAAATCACGCAACCCATCGATTTGGCGCAAATCATTCTCGACCGCTCTGATATCACCATTAAAAGAATCGTGGAAAATGCAACCATTCTCAGTTTGGGTCCAGTTAATAAAATAGTTCCATTTGGTTGAAATTAATAGTTTAGGTCGTTTCAAATTCAAGCGTCGCAGATTTTCGACATTTAACTTAAAAATCATTTTCAGAATGCTTTTATATCCAAATATTACCAATGTATTTATCAGTTGTTTATTAAATCCAAATCTAAACAGCAGATATTATCATGTATTTTTTAAAATTATGTTTTTCCTACAATTATAAGACATCAAAACTGTTTTAACAGCATGTATGCTGTAACCAGATAATGTCTAATGAAATATAAAAAAAAAATGTTCGATAAGTTAAAAAAGAAAAAAAACATCGTAAGAATAATAAATTTCGATTTTACAAATAATATTGCAATTAATTTCACTATTCAAATAGCAAGATAATTTTTTTAAAAAAATATTAATTATTACTAATTTTCTAAATTTGTCGCTTTGTTGGTACTTTTGAAAAAAAAAAAGTTTTTTCAAAAGTTTTTTCCCTTATTTATCAAAATTGCAAAAGGCAGATTTTAAAGCGAAAATTAAGTTTAAGCCTAAATCTAAACTAAAATTTAAACCTAACTTGAATCTGATTGAAGCATCCATCATATATGAACTTCTACTGGTTGATGGACATCTTCAGAACAATCATTGATCACTCTTTTATGATCACTTTACGATCAAATGAACAATATTTGATAATTTGCATTTGTGATGAAAGATTATTGCAATATCAAGAAAGTTCTTTACCGATTATTCCATATTTGAAAATAAACTTTTATGTTTTATGGTGTTTTTTCATTTCTTATTTAACATTTTTTTTTTTGTTCATATGCATAGAAATATTTTACATTTTCCATATTTTTTTTTCTGGAAAAAACTAAGAATTTGTCATTTTATTGACATTTAACGAAATAATCTTTCTTTTTTGAGTTTGTTTAGGTTTTTTTTCTTTTTTTCTTTAAGAAAAAAAATTTGATCTTTGTCTTATTGAACCTTTAATTTAATATATTATTATGTTATTAATTATTATTATCATATTACTTATTATTATTTTTACATTATTAATTATAATATTAATTTTTAGAAATTTTTATTTTCATTGAGGAACGACATTATCATATTTGTTAAATTTTAATTATAATGTGCAAATTTATTAAAAGCATTGGATGCTATAATGTTAATTGAAAAGAATCAAACCATAGAATTAGGTTTTCAAAAACGTTTTTCGAAAAATTCAAATGAGATTGGCTACTAATAGTTTCATAAGTGATTAATTTTATCAAAATGATATAATCACATTAGTGCTTTTATAGCATCCAAATTGTATGTTTTCACAGTTCCACTATGTGACACTCTATGCGACACACTATGTGACACTCTATGCGACACACTATGTGACACTCTATGCGACACACTATGTGACACTCTATGCGACACACTATGTGACACTCTATGCGACACACTATGTGACACTCTATGCGACACACTATGTGACACTCTATGCGACACACTATGTGACACCCTATGCGACACACTATGTGACACCCTATGCGACACACTATGTGACACGAAATATAAGCTCATTTTGTGAAAAGAGCAAAGAACATATATTTGAAAATTTTAATGAAATGAATCATATTATCAAATAGTAAATTAGAGATCCATTTAAAATTGTAAATGATAATTATCATCGAAATATTTCGGAATATATTCGAGAATTTTTCTATACAACAAATTAGATACAAAATTGAATATAAAGTCTAAAAAACATTAGAATGATTGAAGAACTGAAAAGTCATAAAGAGTATAAAGTGAAAAATGGAAATTTATTTTTAAAAAAAAATTATAAAAATTTTATGTTTAATATTTGCTGTTATGTAAGATAAAAATATATACATTTAAGAAAATTTTTATGTATAAAAGAAGTGTTCAAATAATTAAAAAAAAAAAGCTATTTACAATGAATTCATTAATTCTGATCAGAGAATAGAAGACAAAAGTCAAAAGGTAACATAAAATTCAGTTGAAATTTAAATATATTCCAGATATTCTAGCAAATAATACTATAGGAATGTTTAATTTTTTTTTTTTTTTAACATTCTTATGCGATTAATTCAATCACTAAAATTTGTCGACGATTTTTTTTTTTTTTTACTTATTGAAATGTATTTCATTTCAATTGCATTTCAAAATTTGATTCTGATTTTATTAAAAATTTTATGATAAATGTTTTGCCGAATTTTCAATTTTCTAACATTCATTCATTTCTAGTTGTAAGAATGAACGAATTCAGAAATGATTTCCAAGTACTCATCGTCCTTTTTTTTTCGCATATCCGGTTGTTGTGCATCATATCCGGTTGTTTCACATCGTATCCGGTTTTAGCTATTCTTACACGGAAATAGTCGAAATACAGCATACCAATCACCATTGCTAGATATCGGATTAAACAAAGTTGCATAATGCTTAAGCATTAATGTTAGCACTGTCTGAAAAAAAAAAAAACAAAAAAAGCTCTCATTTTACGGTTTAAATTTAGAGATCAAAAAAAAAAAGAAAAACTGGAGTATAAATTTAAAATTTTATAATTATTGATAAATTATATATTTTATAAATAATTTCTTTCATTTAATCGTTCTTTTTTCATTTTCATTTTTTATTTAAAATGATTAAATTAGTAATTTTGAATAATTTTTTATTTTCATTTTTATAAGACATTTTATGATTTAAATTATGTGAAAAGAATAATAACATAGTTCTTACTACCTGATCATCATCAATTCTTCCAGAATCTAACAATTCCATAAATGATTTTTGATAAAATCGATAGAAACGATTAATGGTATGACTATCACCAGCAATAAAACCACCACTTAATACAACCCAATCAACACGATATAGATCAGTTATTGAATATCTATAAATTTATTAATCAAATAAACTTTAACAATTTCTATCTTTTTATTTTGTTAAGAATTGAAAAAAAAAAGAAAAGAAAGGAGCCAAACCTGGATACTTTGTCATGTGCTGGTGTCAATTTAATAACTGTCATACGATCACGTTGAAGTTCTGGTCGCCAGTGACAATGACTTGGAATAATTCCTTCTCGTCCATGACCTAAATAGTTGTAATTTATGCAAATTCTTATAACTTAAATTATTTAATTTTATATATTACTTATATATTATACATATTAATTTATATATATATATATTAACTTACTTATATACTTATATAAATTACTTATATATATTTATATATATATATATATATTAATAAATTATTTAAATTAGATGAAAATTAATTGAAATTACTTAACCATATCCGGCATCAATCCAGGCAAACATCCGATCAGAAGCTTGAAATTGAGCATTTTGTGTTGCATTATATAAAAAATACGGCTTTGAATTAACAATTATATTGTAATCAGCGCTATTTGCTTCCGGATGATAACGCATTTTTGGACCAAATTGCCAATCTGAATTTGCACTTTTTTTCAATTTGAAATAGTTAAAAAAAAACAAAAAAACATAGATATATTATTAGTTTCTATACTAACTGCATAACTGTAAAAAAAAAAAAAAAACAATTGTTTTTTGTAACATTTAAATTTATTAAATTATCAAATTCATTAAAAAGTTTCATTACTTTGTTGTTCTCGTCGAATAATACCTTCCATTTCTTCTCGATACCTATATAACGGGAGATCATGCATAGACATTTCAAATATCTGAAATTTTTTGTGATTAATATTAATTGATAAAAAAAAAAAAAAAAACATAATTTTTTAATTAAATTTTTGACAATTTAGCAAATTTTGACATTAATATTAGTTGAAATGAAATTTATTCTACAAATATTGAAGATAATATCAGACAAAATAAAATAAACAATAATAGCACCTTAGTATTATCAGCATTTCTCATTTGTCGTACAAATTTTGCTCCACTTGCATCAGTGTAAATGATAAGACAATTTCTTAATTTCAATAAATGCTTCAGGTAATTCATGTATTGCTCATAAGTCCTCGTATATCTAGGCCATTTTCCACGACCAATGTCAAATAAGGCTGTGACAATCACTGGTGATTGACGATCATCATGTGTGCACTGATGATGTTGATGATAATGTTGATGATGATGATAATGATGATGATGATGATGATGATGGGGATGATCATGATGATCATGAGATTGTGATATTGGACTGAACTAGAATTGATAATTTAATTCATATTCGATAACTGGAATATCATCATTATTGGTAGATGAATAATGCAAAAAAAATATTTGTTTAACACACAAAGTTTACTTGTTTTTTTCCACAAAAAATTTGAATAATTGAAAGAAATTTAAATTATAAACAAATTTAGCAATTCATTTCTTGTTTTTGATAAGCATAGAAGTAAATTGAAAATGAATTGTTATTTTGGAGGATAAAACATAACTTTTTTTAAAACAGATATAATTTTTAACAAGACATAAATTTTTTTTTTTTTAAGAAATCAAAGCTAATTTAAAATGAGTTGTGAAAAGCCTTACTTGATGGAATGTAATAGTAGTAGTAGTAGTAGTAGCTGTTGTTGTTGTCATTGTTGTTGTTGTTATTGTTGTAGCAACAGGTGGCCTTAGATACAGAATATCTTCATATTCATAATCATTCTCATTTTCTTCATTGCTTATCATCCTGTTATCTTCCTGTTGCATTCGTGATAAAGCAATGGTGACATTTACCGTTGAAATTGTCGTTATTCGTAAATGTGCGGTAAATTTTGTCGTTGTAATAGTAATTTTATTACTATCATTTTTCTCTTTGCTTTTAGTAAATTGTGAATTAATTTTACTAAAATTTGAGAATTTTCGAATAATTGGTGTTACTGAATTTTTATCAAACAATAATGTTCCATTTGTTGTGTTAGAATTTGAATGTAAATTAGTTTTTGTAGCATTTAATAAATTTGAAAGACTTGCATTTACAATAAAAAGTTTTGGACGCAAAGAAGTTTTAATATATGCATTAAATTTATATTTCTTATCAGTAGCTGAAGTAATTTTACTTGTAGTAGGAATAGAAGTAGGAGTAACAGTAAAGGTAGGTAAATTGAAAAATTTTTCATCTGTAAGTGTAGTTTTAGATATATCTGAGAGGATTAGTGGTTTTAAAAATTTCGTAAATACTTCATCGTCTAATTTTATCTGTTGCACTGCTTCTGTTATATCATCATCTGAAGATAATTTCAATAAAATTTCAATAAGGATCAGATAACAATATCAAAAAAAAAAAAAAAAATTTAATAACTTAAATGTAAATTTACTTTCACTTTTTTTTGGAACAAATTTAAATTTTTTGATAAAATTTCTTAATTTTTTTTTGGCAATTGATAAAAAGTTTGTATAAAAAAAAAAAGAAAGAAAGAAAACCTTTAATTGATTTTTGTGATTTATCATTATCATATTGTGATATAGCTGAATTTTCATTGATCACATCGAATTGTTGTTGAGCATTATCAGCATTATCAGTGATCTGTTGAATGTCAAATATATGATCATTGCTTTCTTCTTGATCATACGAATCAATAAAATCAGAAGAAGAATGAATAAGTGGATCAGATCGTTTCACAGATACTCGTTTATAGATATTTGATAAGAAGAAGAACATAAATGCAAGAGTGATAGCTACACTGATAATTCCAAAAAGCCATCGTCCAAAATGATTTATTGATTCATCGGGTTGTCGCATATATTTTTCATCTAATAATATATGAAATAAATTTTTAATTCAAATATTTTCTATTATCAATATGAGAAGCATAGAAAAGATAAATATTTAATGCATACAAGAATAGAATATTAATTGATAAGAATGATAAATTAATGATAAGATTAGTGAGAAAGTAAGAGAAAGCAAAAAGCAATGAAATGATTAGCTTTTAAGTAACGAATTCTTTTAATCATAGCAAACAATGCTCAATTAAAAAGCTATTTAAAAAAGCTTTAAATTAAAAAAAAAGATTATTTTAAAATTGTAATTTATGAATGATTTAGTGAATAAAAATTTATCACTTAAATTTTAAACATACTTTACACATTTATCATTTAGTTGAATTTATCACTTACAAAAATATATTTCAATTTTAAAAATTAAATTAACAACAACTCTTAATGCAAATAAATTTCTTAAAAAAAAAAATTATGGAAACAATTTGAAAATAAACACAAATAAATGATTATCAGTTAATTAATTTCTTATTCATAAAATTTAAATTACCTTTAATTAGTTTATTCTTTGAGAGTAATGATTCCATAACTTCCGGTATATATGCTTCATCCTTCCATTCATCTTCTAAAGTGCTGTGAACCATTCTGTGATATCAGAAAAGCTTCGCATAGAAATTTATTCAAATTTAATTTAACAATTTCATCAACTTTCTTTCTATTCAATTTTTTCCTTTTTCTGTAAATAATAAAATGCTAATATCTTTTAGAAAACGAACGAAAGAACATATAAGTATTCGTTTTATCACATTTATCAAAAAAAAAAAAAAAGTAAAAAAAATAAAATAAATAAAATAAAAAAAGAAAATTGAAAAAAAAAAAAAAACAGAGCAAAAGTTTGATTGAAATTTTGGTGTGAATTTTGCGCGCTATATTTATGTCAAAAAAAGATAATTATGGCATATTGTGAAGCATATGGCGCATATGTCACAAATAAAATATCACACAAACACATTGTTTGATTTCAAGGAGAAAATTTGAATAAATTAGATTAAAATTCGAAGGTCAAAGTTCATTATAGCATATTAATTTAAAGTGTAAGGAATGGAATGAAAAAAGGAGCAAAAGATATAAGTTTAAAACAATTTTAATTAAATTAAAAGTAAGTGTTAAAGTTAAAAAATATTATTAAAATTTTAATTGTAAAAAGTGATTAAAAATTTCAAAATTTAGCAATGCTTATGATAGAATTTATTATAATTTGCATTTGTTAGCTAAATTTTGCTGTCAAAATTGCAAATATTAGCTGCAAATGTCAGTTGTGCTAACAATCATCTTCAACAGTTATTCTATGCGAAATAGCCGCCGTGCGCAAAAACGATACATTTTATTTCATTGTTACCTGATATTTCTACAAAAAAATTTTTGAATTTTGATTATTTACTAAATTAAATTAGTAATATATTAATTTTCCTTTTTGACAAATTTCTTATTTTTAAATATATTTGAATAAAATTCGAATATATTGAAATTGGTTATTCAATTCTTTATGAGTATAATTTATTTTCAAAATTGATTTTTGCATTATTATGCAAACTTTCAACTTTTTCACATTTCATTTATCAGTTAAAAAAATTTTTCATCAAAATCGCTTAAATTTAAACCATTCTTACGCAGTTGTTCTAAAAAAAAAAAATGTGCATGTCGCATGTCATACGTCGCATGTCATACGTCGCATGTCGCATGTCATTTGCGCTTTTCTACAGTGTTTTATATGGTAATTAAAAGAAACATGAATTAGTGTGGTTGAAATGAAATTTTTTTTAAATAAGATAAAATATTTCAGTAATAATATAAGCAAGTGAATGTTTTCGGTTTCACTTTTCGTTATCATATTATCATTGATTGATTAAAGTTTGATGAATTAAGTCTGATAGTAAAGAATTACATTTAATCTTGAATCATTGATTACCATATAAAGTTATAAGTTATAACTCTATTCCTAAATTTATCTTTCATTCAAGCATAAACGTTTATTAATTAATTAGTGTAGAGGTGACAATGAATTGTCATTTTAATGATAACATTGTTTGAACAATAATAATGAATTAGTGATAAGGAAAAGAATATGATAAACAGGTAGTACAGGTAAGTGAAACAAAGAGATAACAGTGAAAAATATTATTCTGCTTGAATCAATGATTAAAATGAAAAGCTGTTGAAATAAATTTGAAATGATCTAATTAACCTGTAAAAGGTAAATTGAAAGAGATCATTAGATAATGAAGCAATAACTGAGATCGTTGATATTTGGTAGCTAACATTTATTAATAGTGAACTTTGACCTGTTTATTCATCCATCCTTCTCATTCATTTTCTATTGGTCTTTATTCCCAATAATCTAATCTTACTAATAGTTAATTTCCTTTTTTTGCTTTTTTTTAATTTCAAAAAAAAAAAAAAAAAAAATGAAGAAAATTAAGAAAATTTTTCAAATATATAGCCTTAGTGAAGTGTTAAGTTTTAAATTTTTTAATATATGAAATTATGAAATTTAAATGCCTTTTTTTGAGCATTCATCTGAAATTGATTTCATGAAATCATATACTGAAATTCATTTCATGAAATCATATATTCAAATTCATTTTATTAAATTATGTATTTGATAAAAAAAAAACAGTTAGACTAGTGATAAACGAAGATTAGACTAATGTTTGATTATCACTCAAATTAATTAATATCATTCAAACTTAATAATTTTCTAACTTTAAAAATTCATACTTATTGCATAGTGATTGATTGATTAATTGACTAATTGATTAATTGATTGATTGATTGATTAATTGACTAATTGACTAATTGATTGATTGATTGATCTGCCCTATTTTATAATATGAAAAAAGAAGCTAATATCATTATTGAAATGTTATTTAGCAACATTTCTATTCATAATTTTTAATCTCAATTCTTTCTGAAATTGCAAAGTTTTTTGGAGAAAAAAGATAGAAAAAAAATGGAACGGAAGAATAATCAGAATTATAAAAAAGATAAATACTGAAATTTATATGATCAGTTTGAGATCAATTATTAAGTTATTAATTAATGATATGATCAATTGAATTATTCATTTAGCAATTAATGCTTTAAGAGTAAATATTTCATTGTTTAATTTAAAAAAAAAATAAAAAGTTGCTACAATTTTAGTTTATTCTATTAATAATATCTATGCTTATCATCTATTTTTTAGTTAATTTCAAAAATAATATTAAAAAATTTATTTTTTTAATTAATAATTTAAATAATTTTTTTTATTAATATATTATTTTAATTTAAATTACCTATATTTCATTTAATCTTAAAATAAATTTCAATTAGTGATTGATGTGAAAAATGAATGAAATATATTTAACAAATTTGAAATCAAAAATGATTATTAGATGAATGATTGATTAATTTACTTACCTAAATATAAAAATAATAGGTATCAATATGAGTTCACCAAACATACCAAAGTGTTTTGAGATGTGAGATGAAGCTTAGACTTCAAAACACATCGCTTTTTCTTTTTCTTTTTTTTTCTAAACAATGTTCGAAACAGTTGGTTTAAGAGAAGATCATAGCAAAAGTGATGATAATACTGATAACAAACACTGATTAGATGCTAGCAATACCTGTGCCATTGCTAATTACTAATCTGAATTAAATTAATTTAATTTAGAAACAATCAATAGTTGATGATTAAATCTTTTTATTAATTTAACATAAATATAAATAAATTAAGGAAAAATTAAACTGATAAATTTTCAATTTGTAAAATTTTAATCAAATTATAACAAAGTTTTAAAAATTCTTCTTTAATCAATTACTTTATGAAATAATATACTGCAAAAAGTTATGGTTACAAAATTGAAAGTATTTTTTTTTTTGAAGTAAATTTTTATTTAAAATAAAATCATCCATTTATCAAATTTTTTAAGTTTTAACAGGTACTGAAAAAAAATTGAATTAATTATTGAGGAATAATTTGAGAAAATTATATTCGATTTTTATTGCAATTATAAATTATAGAAATAAGTCAAAAAATCTTTTCAAACTTTTTTCTTATTTCAATTAAAACAATTAGAAAAAAAAAATAAAAGACAAACAAATTTTTAAATTATAAATTGTAAATTAAGTAAGAAACAAAAAAGTAAAATTAAAAGGAATGAAAGAGTAGTAACACTGCTACGTACAGTTTTGCATTTCATTTTTGTATGAATCGCAATACACTGCAAAAAACAATGTGCATGCATGCAAGTGCATGCATCTGCGTGAAGGCAACCAAAATTGTCGCACTTTTTTGTTTTGTTTTGTTCTGTTTTCTTCTGTCAATGCAAAAAAGTACTTACAAAATGATTCACACAATTTGTACTTTTTTAATTAATAGTTTAAATTTGTAGATGATTAAATCGAAAAATAAAAAAAAAAGAAAAAAACAACAACAAAATTTCAATGATATATTATATGAAAGTAATACTAATATAAATTATATTATATCGATTAGTTTATAATTTTTAATTAATTAGAATTAATTAGAATTTAATTAATCAAGATTAGAACTAATTAAAAAGATTCTAATTAGAAATTTTTTTTTTGTAATTATTAATTTCACTTATTATTAAAATTAGCAATAAAAAATATTTTATAGTTATAATGAATAATTAGCATTTGTAATTAAGAAATTAGCTTTTTTCTTTCTTTTTTTTTGCTTCTGATCAATTTTTTCTTTTGTCTATTAGAAAATAAAAGTTTTATTTCAAATTTTTTTTTTTTTTCACATTGAGATTATGAACTCTCATTTTAGCAACAAATATTAAATTATTTGATAATGTTGAATGAAAAATTTGATAAGCAATGAATTTTCAATTTCACTTTGACAAAATTTAATACGACGATTTGTATTTATTTTAGGTGCAATAAAATGTCAACAAAAATGCTAACAATCTTAGCAAAGTAAACTATGTAAGTAAACAAAAAAAAAAAATTTGCTAACTGTAAAAATGTAATTTAAAATAAATGTAATCAATTAAAGACAAATAGAGAATATCATAGTTTTTGCTTAACATATAGATTAGATAAAGTTTAATTTTTAAAATAAATCTAATAAAATACAAAAAAAAAAAAAAAAGAAGGGAAGGACTTCTTAAAATATTCAAAATTAATTATATTTGCTGTAAAGTCACACAGAATACAAAAATGAAAATTAAGGATAAAAGCTAAGTTTTTACCATAGCATATAAAAAAAAAAAATTCGCACAACAAAGTTATTATTAATTTCAGTTTTATCAGTTATCATTTTATCAATTTACGAATAATAGATATTATCATACAAGGATTAAAAATATCTCTATTATTATAATTATCTTCTTATCAAATATCACTAAATACTAATATCTAACTTCGCAAAAAAAAACGCACAGCAGAGTTATTATTGATTTCAGTTTTATCAGTTATCATTTTATCAGTTTATGAATAATAGATATTATCATACAAGGATTAAAATGTTTTCATTGTTATAATTATTTTCTTATCAACTACCACCACTAATTACTAATATCTAACTTTGCAAAAAAAAAAAAAAAAAAAAAAAAAAAAGTCAGTAAATTCA